TTTCAAACTAAATTACAAAGCTATAATAATAAAAACAGAATGGCATTGCCATATAAATAGATACATAGACCAATGGAATGGAATAGAAAGCTCAGAAATAAACCCACGCATTTATGGCCAATTAATTTATGACAAAGAAAGAATAGGGAAAGGATAGTATCTTCAGTAAATGGTGTTGGGGAGCACCTGGCTGGCTCAGTCAGTAGAATGTGTGACTAAGCTGATGTAGTCGACTCAGGTTCATGAGTTTGAGCCCCACGTTCAGTGTAGAGATTACTAAAAAATAAACTTGGGGCATGTGTGGCTCAGTCGGTTAAGCGTCTGCCTTCAGCTAAGGTCATGATCCCAGAGTCCTGGGATCGATTCCCGCATCAGGCTCCCCGATCAGTGAGGAGCCTGCTTCTCCCTCTGCCTGCCACTCTCCCTGCTTGTGTGCTTGCTTGCTTTCTCTCAAATAAAACTTAAAAATAAATAAAACTTTAAAAATTATGTTGGGAAAACTAGACTCCTTTCTTATACTGTACATAAAAATCCACTTAAAAGGGATTGAATATAAGACCTTAAACGATAAAACTAGAAGAAAACGTAGGGGGTAAGATCCTTGACATTAGTCTTGGTGATGATTTGACACCAAACATAAAACCAACAAAATAAAATATAAACAAGCGAGACTACATCAAACTAAAATGCTTCTTCATAACAAAGGAAACCATCAACAAAATGGCAACCTACAGAAGGGAGAAAATATTTGCAAATCACATATCTGGTAAGGGGTTAATGTGCAAAAAATATAAAGAACTCATACAACTTAATAGCAAAGAATCGATCCAAATGCGCAGAGGAACTAAATGACATTTTCCCAAAGAATATATACAGATGGGCAACACATACATGAAAGGGTGCTCAATTTCATTAATCATTAAGGAAATGCAAATCAAAACCACAATGAGATATCATTGCACAACTACCTCTGCAGTACTATAAAAAAGATAAGATGTAAGTGTCGGTGAGGTTGTGGAAGAAAGGGAACCCTTGTACACTGTTGGTGGAAATATAAATTGGTGCAGCCACTATGGAAAGCAGTATGGAGATTCTTCAAAAAATTAAGACTAGAACTGACATATGATCCAGCAATCCTAATTCTGGGTATATATCCAGAGGAAGTGAAGATAGGATATTAAAGAGATAGCTCTACTTTAGTGTTTATTGTTTTCACTAGGGTGGGGTGGGGGAGATAAATATGTGAGGTGATGGGTATATTAATTAACCAGATGGGGGATTTTTTTCACAATGTATACATATATTAGATCACAACGTATACTTTATAATCTTTGTCAATTATGCCTTTTATCTTTACAATTATACCTCTTTATCTTTACAATCTTTGTCAATTATAGCTCAGTAAAGGTATAATTAATTAAAATTAAATTAAATTTAAATTTAATTAAATTAATTAAAATGATATTTCAAAAATTTTAAATTTTAAAATTAAAAAAAAAAACCCTGTGCTTTGGAGATAAATTTATAGCCACAAATGCTTTCATTATTGAATAAGAAACCCAACAAGTAAACTAAACTTCAATATTTTTTTTAAAGAAAAAGCAAGCTTAATAGGACAAATGGGAAAGAAGAAAGAAAAATAAAACGATTAAACTATAAAATTTTAAAAAGAACAGAAAACATAAATCCAAAATATCATATATCATAGATTGCTTAGCGGTCTGATTGAAGAAGAAATACATCTGGAAATGAGAGGCTGTGTAACTAAAAATATGTTTTAGGAACTTTCAATCTTTATGAATTAGTTGAAAAGGTTGGAGAGAGAAGGGAATGAACCAAGAATTGGAAAACCTGGATAAATTAGTAACTAGGAAAAAGTGAAATTAATGTTAGGAGTGGGTGGGAGGGAAAGGGGTGGATGGTCAATTTAATAGACAACTTCCAAGTAACCACTAATTCTAGTGTTGTATAAATTATTCAAGAGCATGGAAAAACCTGAAAAGCTACACCATTAATTTGATGAAGCTGTATATCCCTGATGAAAGTCTGATAAAACTAGCATCTAAGAAGATGATAGACTAATCCCACTTACTAATATAGTTGAAGAATTCCAAATATCAATTCCTACTTTAATAGGCACAAGTACTCTTTCCATCAAGACCCAGGGAGATTTATTCTACGAATACAGAAATGGCTTAGATTAAAATTAAGAACTACTGATTCTGGGACTGTGGTAAACTAGATGGTAATGATATCCCTCCTAGTATAGCATACAAAGTTATAATGTGTATGAACATTTCAAGCATTGGGGGAAATTCCAGTAAGAATTTACAAGAATTAGCTGCCACTGGAGTCAAAGGTAGGGTTCTGTCCTCCCTATTCAACCCCAAATTGGAAGAGATATTACCTGTTAGCTTTGTTCTGGGAAGAGCAGGAAAAAGAACCTATAGCCATATATTCACAAGGGTTTAGACTCAGAATTCATATCCCCATGGGTGATCCTCAGAACACCCAGGGCAGTAATTTAATTTAAAATGTTGCCAAGGAGGCAGCCTTTTAGCACCTAGCAGAAACAAGTGCTCTCTTTTCTGATGCACTTTTATTTTGGCTTCAGAGAATTCCCACAAATGATATTCTAAGGAGCATGAATTCACCAAAAGTAAAAGAAAGGCCACCATGAGGCAGAGTCAGCTGAAACAAATGGTCAAAGAGGGCAGAGGCTGGTGCTAACACATACAGAACATACAACAAATATGTTAGAATATAATAATCCTGAAGGGCACCTGGGTGGCTCAGGCAGTTAAGCAGACTCTTGACTTTGGCTCAGGTCATGATCTCAGGGTCTTGGGATCGAGTCCAGCTCCACACTCAGTGGGGTGTCTGCTTGAGGATTCTCTCTCTCCTTTTGCCTCTCCCTAGGTTCGTGCACTCTTTTTCTCTCTCCAATAAATAAATACAAATAAATAATACAAATAAATAATACAAATAAATACAGATGGATAGATAGCAGGTTAGACACAGCCAAAAATAGTGAACTGGAAGAAAGGTCTTAAGCAATGTGTTCAGAGCTCAGTGGAATATATGGGTGAGAATGTAAGAGATGTGGAAGACTGAGCAGGTCTATTATGTCCTTAATTGAAATTCCTGGAGGTAACAGAGGCCATGGAGTAGGTGCAGTATTAGAGAAGGTGATGACTAAAAACGTTTCTGGAGAACATGCAAAAAAATCAGTCTTCAGATTTAGGAACCCTAATGAATCCTGAACAGGATAAAAAAATTAAGTCCCCACCTAGATATGACATAGAAAACCTCAGAGTACACATACTGAAATATCATAAAAGCAGCTTCATAGAAAACATAACCTACAAAGTAATAGCAATTAGACTGACGATTATTTGCCAACGTCAATATTAAAAGGCAGATGAATGTTAGTGTCAAATTAGAATTCTATTTTCAACAAATACCTCTAAACACATTATCTTCAAGAAAGAGGCCAAAATAGAAGTTTGGGGGGCTTTTTTGTTTTTTGTTTTTTAAATTCAGGGAAGCTATATAATTATCTTTAGCGCTGAGAAGACAAAATTTCAATGCCTTCTGCTTACTTAGAAAACTGAATAAACTAGGAATAGATTATAAACTCTGAGAATAGGGATCCTGTTTATCCCATAATCATATATGTAGAAGGCACTCAATAATGATCTGTGTGAATGGCCTTCCTTTGGTGTGAGAGTGGCTGTCTACCAGAAACAGGCAGGAATCATGGATGATAGTAAAATGTTACAGACATTCCTGTTAAAGTATAGAGCAAAATATGGGTGTCCAATATTGTCAATGTTATTTAATGTTGTACCTGAAATTCTACTCTAGAGAAGGAAATGATGACTATGAGGAAAAAAAAAGAGATATTACTAATTTTTAAATCAATGGTATCTCCTAGTCATACAACAGAAATTAATTACCTGGAAAACTATAAAAAGTAATATATAGAGATTTGACTCAGAAGAAATAAGACATATTTCCTATCCAGGAGCTTGAACAGCATCCTTCTTCAGGTTTTTATTCAAAATTAAAAATATATAATTGTACTCATTCAATGTTATAAATCTCCTAGAAACAAGAAGAATCAGAATGCATCCTGCCTTCAGTTTGAGTGGTAAACAGGCCACCATATCTGTTACTGACTTTATTGGTTATAATGGGTATAAAGGAGCAACTTTGTAATTTTATCTGAGCACCATATGGAGGGGGGTGCAGAGGGAAGAGCTGTAAAATGCCTCCTCAGTGAAGTGATCCTTAAATCGAGTCCAAACTCATGACTAGAAGGCCAAATTTTAAGAAAAGATCCTTAATGTGAATTGTTATCCTCAAATATGTAATTCATGTGACCATCTTTACATTTCACAACTAGAGTGAAAGGTGTTAAAAGGGGAAAATCTGTCACTTGACAGATTGTGTTAGAAGCCAAGATCAGGAGGCTCTTATTTTGGGGAATTAATCATACAGAGTGCTTATATAGACGTAGCTTATAAAGAGATGTCTGAAGAAGTCTGTTCAGTCCTAATCCGATTACCCTAATAGGTTTAGTGGGTACAGTAGCTGACAATGGTCTGCTATTAATTAACAAATAGTCTTTTTATTTTTAACTTGAATTTAAGCTCTGGTTAAACAATATGACTAATTAGAACACTTGAGACTTGGTCTAAAATTGATGACTTGGGAGCTCTAAAATCACTGTGTTTTTCCTTAGTGAATATTCTTGTAATTCTCTTTCTCTTTGGAGACATAGGGTACTAACACTCTGTGTCACTCTTGGTGGTTTCCTCAAGACCCTCCCTCTTCTCATTTCCATGTAGTTTTTGTATCTTTCTTCCTCTTAGAAGCAGTGATCTCCTGCCCACACCCTACAATTTCTTCAATAAAGTCCTTTTGGTACTTTGAGGAAGCCAATTCCATTTCTCAAACAAATTTATGATTAACTGAAACAATTCTTTCTTTTCTAGGATTGTAGAAATCTATAGTAGACGATTACAAGGTAAACTTTTAAACTTTTATTTACAGAAAAACATTTTCTTCTTAAGGAAAAAGTATTTTTTGTTGTTCTTATTTCACATGTAATACATATGACTTAAAACCTCATAGGAATATAATATAGAAAGGGAAAGTCTGCAGTGTTTCAGGCCTCCAGAAGAAATCATTGTTGTATTTGCATATTCCTTCATATTTTGTGTGTCTACCAACATTTTAAAATCAATATATTACATTTTTTAATGGGCTCATATTGTATGTAATGGCCTTTTATTCCCCCTATTTTTTTTTTCCACTTAACAAATCAAACATCTTTTTTTCCTACATGCATGTAACTATCTCGTTCATTATGCTGGCTGTTTAGCATTCCATTGTCCAGCTGTGCTGGGACTTGATTTAACCAGTCCCTGCTCTAATAGACATTTGCAGATTTTTGTCAGTTTACAAATAAACACGATGCTGCAGTGAACACTCTTAATATGTTTTCAAAGATGAGCTGTTTATTCAGCACAGGGACCGCATTGTTTAGGTTAGATTGTTGGCTTTGAGTTCCATGTACAATTAAATAATTGGGTTTAGTGCCTCTGTTAATCCTGTCACGAGCGACTTATTCATCTGCGTGGAGGAGCTCATTATCAGTTGGTCTTCCTGCACGCCTGGGACAGTTGTCGCTCGCACCCGTTTTCTGTGGGGGGTGTCAAACGCTCTTCAGTACTGGATCTGCGGGTAAGAGAATTGAACGGCGGCCTCCTGTGGGCCACAGACAAAGCAGACCTGTAAGAGCTCGTGTGTCTGGGTTCTGAAGCCTCACAGAAGTCTGCTTTTTAAGATTTCGAATATTCTAGAGACAACAAATATTCTCAAGACCGCTGTTTGTGTCAGATTCTTCAACGGAGCCTCTTGTCACCCCCACAGTTCAAGAGCGGCTGACGAAACAAATTGCCATAGCAATCACAGAAGCCTTGCGGCCTGCTGGAGTCGGGGTGGTGGTGGAAGCCACGTAAGTCCATGCTTGCCCTTAACAATTGTCCTTGTGGTGCCTGGAAGTGGTATTTAGTGTTGCTCAGTTTTTCCAGCACCCCGTGATGCCACATCATTAACACTGTCATGTTTTCTGCCTCTGACCTGAAGCTTTCTTGACCTCTTGCATTGACTGCGTGGCCGACACAGGAACCAGATGGGAGACTGGTTTTGTTTTGTTTTCCGTGGGGCTGGTGGCCATGTCGGGAGTCATGAGCCTAAGCGGAGTGACGTGTGCAACCAGAAGCATTTTATGTCTTCACTTGATTTCTTCTTTAGCTCTTTGTTGCTCCAAGCAGACTTTTCCTAATATTTTGTCACACGTTTTTAAAAATGGAGCAAAAACTGGGTGTAAAGGGCATCTGAAGACACTTCTTTAAGTTAGAATGAATTGCGAGAATTGCACACATCTTATCCATTCTTCCGACAGGGCATGAGCTCTGTATTGTGCACGCCATCTAGCTCCCCCAGGTTGCTCACATGCACTGGGGCCACTGTTCTCTAGATTCTGCCTGGTGATACCACATACTTCAGTATTTCTCCAAATACCTAAGCTAAGATTGTGCTCTTTGGGTCTTACAGATGGAGCAAGTGAGAATTCTGAATTGCTTTTTATACCAAAGTTGTTTTATCTCTATGGACCCCTTGTATTATTTTCACCTAGGGAGAAAGTTCCCTTGTTTCCCATTCTGCTAGATGCATCAAAGATTCAACCACTGCTGAGAATGAGAGCCGTGGGACTAAGAAACATAAATAAAACATTTTAGGTCACGTTTGTCCAAGAAGCGACATTTGGATACAGTTGGTAGCTGTGAACTCAATATAACCAGATTTAATTTTGGGAGCTGCTTTTGACTTTAAAAACCAAACCAGCAACTGTCTATTCCTTTAAGCCACCTCTGTTGTCTTGTTTTGTAGACACATGTGTATGGTAATGCGAGGGGTACAGAAAATGAACAGCAAAACTGTGACCAGCACGATGTTGGGAGTGTTCCGGGAAGACCCAAAGACTCGGGAAGAGTTTCTAACTCTCATTAAGAGCTGAACTTCAGCGTGTGTCATGTGCTTTGAGGATCGTGCCACTAGTTAGCATTGTTTGGTCTTAATTGTTTGTACATTGCATTTTCAATTGTTTTAGACGTGAACATTATTCCTTGTCACTAATGGTGTTTAATAATTATTTATAGCAAATCAAATAAAAATAATTAGCAAAGGGGTGAGACCTCTACTTTCTTCTTGCCACCTTTTAGTGGTAACTATCAAAGAAACTGCTCATCGTGTAAGTTACATGCACAAAACCACTGCCATTTGGATAACCTTGAGGGTGCTGGGAAGGAAAAAATACTCAAGTATTTTGTTCAAATACTATGGTAACTGGGTTCCTAAGCATAGGAATGTTGGGAATGGGGGAAAACTATGGCCAATACTATTTTTTTCCTTCCCCAAACAAAAATGGTGTAGTGCTTAAAAGAATTTTTGTACACTGTGCAACATTGCTCTGCAAACTCAGAGTCCAACAGGCTTCACTTTAATCACATTTATGAAACTGCCAGGACACTTTATTTTTTATATATTTATTTTTTGACTCTCCAGCTGTGACGTTAGTCACCAAAGGAAGGTGGTGGAATATCTATGTTTTTGATTTTGTGAGTTAAAAAGGCACAATTCTACTTTCCATTCTTTTTTAAATTCAAGTACAGGGAATTAGTTCCTATTGTTTACAAGTGTATTCTCATGTGAACATACAGGGATTTAGACATTTAACTCTCTGTGCCTTGATGAGAATATCACACCACTTAGAGTATAGATACCTTTGCCTTTTTAAAAAAGCCATTATTTTATGAGACTTCAGTACTGACCCTGCAAATAACTAGTCCTCACAGTTTTAACTTTAGGAGTTTCTTGCAAGCTTACTTTGTGTATTCCTTGGAGATGTCTCAAAACTTTTCTTTTTTTTTTTTTTTTTTTTTTTTTTTTTACCTTAACAAATATTTTTCTAAGTATTTCCAGAAACTTTTGAAAATGTTCATCACTTTCAGGTCTGCAGAACCATAGCTTCTGTGTACAGGAAAGCATGCAGAATGAACTAACTGTGGACTGCACAGTGTGAGTGATAGCCAATGTTCAATGAAAGCTGCATTGTTGGTATCTGTGAAAATGCTCTATAATTTTCTGAAATTACTGGAAATTATTAGAAGCCCCATACTGGTTCCTCTTGTGCTCCATATGGGTCTCGTCCTCAGTGTAACTGTTCAAGTGGTATACAAGTCTTTTTGTCCAGGAAGCTGTTGCCTTATTAATGACTACTTAAAATTCCCTCCACTGGGGCAGTGTGGGCCAAAGTAAAACAAACAAAAACCAAACCCAACTCCCTGCAAAAACAAAGCTACAGTCATTCCATGGAAAAGTCTCTTATTTGGTTGACATTGTATCCTTCAAATTTATTCCATTACCTTAAGAAGAACTAACTACAGTGATTACTCTAACCTTGGTAGTCCTGCCTCTGCCATTTTGATGTCATTTGCCTTAGGATGGGGACAAGGTGGCAGAAGTGCTGGGTTTTTTGTTTGTTTGTTTGTTTGTTTTTTGTTTTTTAAACTTCCCTACATCTATTTCCTATATTTTTCTATGGAGTTTCTGAAGTACAGTGGTAATTTATTTTGAGTTCTCTTTAAAATCTAATGTGATATAAACATTATCCTGCTTAATAGACACTTAGAAGTAGAATTAAACACTATTCATGTTTGGTATTTTAAAGTAAAAACAGATGTGACTTGGAGGACCAAAGAAATTGTTAGCTATAAATTCATCTTTCTGAGATCAATTGTATTTCTTTTTAATGAGTCTCTGTTCTAACATTGCCTGGAAGTGTTCTCATAAAGGTCTAATGTATCTGCAGGCTGTCATCTTATTGGTAAATGCAAAGTAATAACCTTGTCTGTTTTACTCTAGTCTGTAGTACTTCAAAATTACCTTTTCATATCCATGGCCTCGACTCCATTTTGGGGATTTTTAAGAAGTTGATGCATTTAAGTACACTGTTCAATTAAATTGTTTGAATTTAATGTGTGTGTGTGTATCTGTTCCTGAAGTTGGTTCTATTGAAATTATTAAAGTGTTATAACTTAGTTTCTTGTGGAAGTAGTTTCTTTTTGAACCATTTGTATAAATATGCCAATAAATTAGATTATTTTATTTGTATTCTCTTTTACCAAAGATACCCGTCATAAGGCTTTCCCTGATAGTCATCAAGCTATTAGAATGTAAATCCCAGTAGTGGTAGAAATTAACCTGGGGTTCTCTGTCTTCCTTTGGTATTTGGTTTGGCTATTACTGTCCTCACCCTCTGGCTGATAAGGGATGAGGAGGTCTGGGGTAAGAGTGAGGAATCTGAGTGGCCCTCATGCCTCTGTTATTCTAAATCTAAGTTTGGGAAGCTGCAGCCTTCTGAGAACTGGCACTGTTTCTGTGTGGGAGCTATTGGAGAAGGAAGAGCAGACTGGGGCAGGGAGCCTGGCAGTGCAGGGAGCGGAAGAGATTTTCACTCCTTCTTCTAGGGAAGAACCTTCCCTGGACAAGACTTCTGAGTAAATGCAAAGGTTTTGCTGCCTCTTTTCTGTCTGTGGCTGGTGACCTCGTCAGTCCCTCTTTTGGGCTGTTCTTCTCTCCATTCTTTGCTCTACCCAGGCAGAGGCCCCTGCACTCACTGATGTCAGCATGCCCAGGTGTCAGGGCTCTGGAGTGGCCTGCTGCTCCTCAAAGGACTTCGTAGACTGTTGGGTAGTGAATCTAGTCACCCAAACTAGGGTTGCTTATTGTATAAACATTCCTAAAACCACAACTCATAGGTGTCAGTAAAACAATGAGCTGCTCAGCTAAGCCTGAGTTGCTGCTCCTGAGTTTTTTCACGAAAGATTGGCCGAGTTCCTTGTTTTGTAACTTATGGGAAGAGCAGTTGCAAACACCAAAGGTATGAGAGAATGTCATCAGTACAAACTTAGATTCATCCTGAAGTTGCTGATGGCGAGAAGAGGGAGTCTCAGTAGATGAGTTCAAGGCCAAGTGTAAATACCCAATAGCCCCAACCCTCCAGAGGCACTTGCTCTATTTTAGTCTTTATTACAGAAAAAAACATATATAGCATAGACTGTACATAATTACATGAACCCCTTCTACCCATCACCCAGCTTCAGTAAGTTTCAACTCATGGCCATCTTGATTCCCCTGTACTTCCTATCTCCACTGGATTATTTCAAAGCAAATTCCAGATATTATTTCACTCATAAAATATTTCAGATTATCAAAAAGGAGAAGAACCACATTAACAAAAAGCCCATTCATTATCACACAAAAAATTAATGCTTTAATATCAAATATCCAGTCAGCATTCAGTTTTTCCCTATTGTCTCATAAATTTATTCATCGCTTATTTGAATCAAGGTACAGATGAGATCCATACATTGCAATTGGTTGATCTGATGTTTTTTTAATTGTAAAACAATTCATAGCGGTTTCTGAGTGGCAGAGTCTGTTAAGCACCCAACTCTTGGTTTTGGCTTAGATCGTGACCTCAGGGTCATGAGATTGAGCCCCACAGCGGGCTCCACACTAAGCAGGGAGTCTGCTCGAGATTTTCTCCTCCCCCGCCTCCCCCCTCCCCTGATGTACACTCTCTCTAAAATAAATAAATAAATAAATCTTAAAAAAAAAACCCACAGAAAATTTACTATCCTAAACATTTTTAAGTGTACATTTAGTAATAACTATATGTATATTGTTGCAAAACAGATCTCTAGAATTTTTTCATCTTGTAAAACTGAAAACTTATATCCATTGAACTCTTATTCTCCCTCCCCTCAGCTCCTGGTAATCACCATTCTATTTTCTATTTCTGAGTTTGACTACTTTAGAGTCCTCATATAAACAGTATTTGTCTTTTTGTAACTGGTTTAATTTCACTTAGCATAATGTTCTCAAGACTCATCCAAGTTGTAGCAAATGACAGGATTTTCTTCTTTTTAAAGGTTGAATAATATTCCACTGTAAGTATCTAGTACATTTTTTTTTTAAAGATTTTATTTATTTATTTGACAGAGATCACAGGTAGGCAGAGAGGCAAGCAGAGAGGGGGAAGCAGGCTCCCCGCTGAGCGGAGAGCCCGATGTGGGGCTCGATCCCAGGGCCCTGAGATCATGACCTGAGCTGAAGGCAGAGGCTTAAACCACTGAGCCACCCAGGTGCCCAGTATATAGTACATTTTTTTTATATAGTACATTTTTAAAGATTTATCAATCTGTTGATGAGCATTTAGATTGTTTCCACCTTTTGGCTATTGTGACTAATACTGCAATGAATATGGGAGTGCAAATTATCTCCTGGAGAGCCTGCTTTCAGTTCTTTTAGATATGTACCCAGCAGTGGGATTACGGAATTTTTATATTCTCTCTATGTTATCTCTTAAAAATTTTTGAGGAACCTCCATTTTGTTTTCCATAGTAGTGCTACCATTTAACATTCCCACCAACAGTGTACCAAGTGTCCCAATTTCTCCACATTCTTGCCAAAACTTGTTATTTTCCGACTTCTTTGGATTGTGGCCATCCTAAGGGGCATGAAGTAATAGTTCGTTGTGGTTTGGATTTGCATTTCCCTGATGATTCATAATGTTGAGCATCTTTTCAAATTCATGTAGACCATTTGTATATCTTCCGTGGAGAAAAGTCTATTCAAAGTCCTTTGCCCATTTTTTTTAAAAGATTGTATTTATTTATTTGACAGACAGAGACCACACAGACAGAGAGAGAGGGGGAAGCCGTCTCGCTGCTGAGCAGAGAGCCCAATGCGGGGCTCGATCCCAGGACCCCGGGATCATGACCAGAGCCGATGGCAGAGGTCTCAACCCGCAGAGCCACCCAGGCGCCCCCTTTGCCCATTTTTTAATCAGGTTATTTATTTTTTTTTGTTGTTGAGGTATGGGAGTTCTTTATAACCCCTTATCAGATAAATAGTTTGCAAAAATTTTCTCCCATCTTACAGATTGCCTTTTCGCTCTGTTGATTGTTTCTTTTGGTGCATAGAAGTTGTTAAATTCGATATAGTCCCATTTTTCTGTTTTTGCTTTTGTTGCCTATGCTCTTGGTGTCATATCCAAGAAATCATTGTCCATTCCAATTTGTAAAGATCTCCCTCTGTGCTTTTTTCTAGGAGTTTTATAATT